AGCGCCCCGCTGGCCACGCTTCGCCTGATGCAGCCCAGGGTACGGTTGGCCTTCTGGGCTGCCAGCGCACATTGCCGGCTCATGGCCAGCTTTTCATCCACCAGCACCCCCAAGTCCCTCTTGGCAGGGCTGCTCTCCATCCTTTCTTCCCCCAGCCTGTACTGATACTGGGGGTATCCCTTCCTCCGAGTCCTTAATTTGGATGCCCTGCCTGGCAGCATGCCCCTGTGTTCTTCTGGGCTTGTTGAGATGGGTCTTCAATGCTTTGATGACTCTCCTATGATGGGCCTGGGAATAACTGGGCAGGGTATTATCTGTGCTTCCCCTTCCCCCCCAAATGTCTCTCTCTCTTTGGAGGTGCTGAGTTTTACCACATAACCTAATGATTATTCTGGGATACACTGCCTACATAATGAAACCCTAGTTAAGGGTTTCATATAAGACGCCAGCGTGCACTTGCAGCCCAGAAAGCCAACCGGTTAGGTTGGGACAGGGCTTTGAGCCACCTGATCTAGTGAAAGATGTCCCTGCCCATGCGGAGGAGTTTAGATCAGATGATCTTTAAAGGTCCCTTCCAACCCAAACCATTCCATGACTCTAAGAATTATAGAAGAGGATATCCACATCCACTTTATCCTTACCTTGTTAGAGAAATATTTCAAAGGTCACATAGTGGTATAACAGTTTGGAAGTCTGTGAACAGACAGATCCCATTGAACTGTCTTACAAGGCACGAGTACTAACAGAGAAAGTCATGTCTGTGATGAGAGGACAGTGATAAATCTGCTGATTAGGTATAGCAGTGAAACAACTGCCTCAGCCAAGCTGGTTTAATTTCTTATCCAACAAGATGATGTGAGAAAGGTTTGCTATTTTAATGAAGTATGTTCACTTATTTTGCATCCATTGGTTTCAGAATCCAAATCTGGGTAAAAAGTAGTTAGCCTTTCTGAAATGTCTCTCAAACATGAAAGCCTAGAGACATCTTTTCTGGGGTAGAAGCAAGCCTCCAAGATGATCCTTACTTAGTATAAATCATATATTAGTTCAGACTGAATGCACTCTTTTATCTTCTCAGAGAATATCGTCCAGAATATGAGCGCCTGAGAAAAACACTGGTGAGTATTTTTAACTATTGTATACCTGGGCAGTGTGTCTTGGGGTCGCTTTTTTGCACACAATTGTCTGTATGTTGGAAGGGTCTAACATTTCATTTACTGATCGTACTCACTGTGGAACACCTCCTTTCCTGAAGCTCACCATCTGTCTTTTTTGCCTAGATTTGGTGGAACATATCTCCACAAAAATAAAGAAGTTTTGTAAAACAGATGTTGTTTGGTGTTTTAGTGCTAATAATTTATTTGGGCAAATTGTGAGAAGATGATCGGGAAAGATTTTTATATCTTCCATTCAGAAGGATAGAGACTTTTGTAAAAATAACTTTCCAAAGTGATTTGTTGAGAATATCACTGTATCTTTCCACACCAGTGAAGTGTACTGTTTTGACTTAGACAATTAATACCGAAGACTGAATTGCAGTACCAAAATCAGCAGCTCTGCTCACCTTGAGTTCTGGCTGTCCAAAAGACAGTTCTCTGCAGGCACAACTTCACTGAGTTTGGCTTCCTGATGCTGCTGAAAATGTTCTTGGAGTCCATCATGCTGGAGGTTGCTTTCCGTGTTCATTCAGAAGTTCTGTGTAACCTTAGTTGTAATGTAGGACCTGCTTATTGACTTCTGCTTTCTGGCTGGGGGTCAGACTGCTAGTATTGGGTGAGATTACTTTTCTACAGATGTTTTAAATGTACTCAGAATCCACATGTAACTTTGTACCTGCAGGAGAAAGCCCAAAATAAACAAAAGAGAGAGCAGCTGGAACACTTGTGGAAGGACATGGGCAGCGTCTGTGTGCAGAGCAACACACTTGCAGGTACCTTACTAAGAAGATTAAGTTCACTGCAGAAGTTGTCTGAAGAGTCTGCCTGCAGATGTCATATAGTGCTTTTCTGTCTGCACAGCAAAAGCGTGAAAGCAGCTTCATGTTAGTAAAGAGAAGTGGGGCTTTAGTTCCTGTGGGATGGGTCAGACTTAGTTCTTCTATGTGCCAGTCACAGACATGAGAAGAAGAAACCCTCCTGTGTGGTTAAAGCAGTGGACGTACTGTAAGTAATGAAATACTTTAGAAAAGGTGAAACAGTCAAATTGGAATATGAGAAAGCTCTGCTGTTGGTTGAACTGTTGCCTTATATGAGGTTGAGTGTGGTGCTGATACAGTCTGTCTTTGGAATCCAGAAGCAGCTTTCTGTCCCTTTAGAGTAGGTATTAATTGCTGTGTTGATGTGCAAATAGAAATTGTCAGGGCACAAACTAAGTTAATTGTTGTGTATAGCCATTTCTGTTCTCTTCGAGGGTCTGATGATGCTTCTGCAATGGGTCCCTCTGAGCTGATCCTAACACGAGGAACTCTTGATGAAGAAGAAGAGAGGGAGAGTGATACTGATGACATTGACCATGAAGGTGAGGAAATGAGGGATCTCATCTAGTCAGGAAATACTCTCTGTATTTCATTAACTGGATTGACTGCAATGAGAGCCTAGAAAACAAGAAAACAGTCACCTAAATATAGGTGTCTGAATCTGCAGCAGAAGCCCAGGTGCAATGCTTCGTCTAGTGATACCACTCTCTAACCTTTGTGAAAGTTCAACTGTAAATTTTCTATTCAAGTAATTATTTTTAATAGGTGTATAAAATGTATAAACCAGACACCTTGTTATGCCTGGAGCACACAGTGACCTCTGAACCTGATTAACACACAGTATGTTTCATTGTCTTTTTGGCTTTACAAGTTTCTGCCCCTGGCTCTCTTCCCTTTTCCTGTGACTCCTGCTCTCGGAGCAATCTTCTAAGTTCTTAAAGTGTGTGATTTTTCTCTTGTATAGTTTGCAGAGTTAATCTTCATTCTTTCCCTGTTCCATTGATTTTTAGGATTACTTATTTCTTTCATCTTGTAATGAAGTTGAAGATCGAATAGACTTTACGTGTTGCTCTGACTAGCCTGACTGTAGCTTTCATCAGTAACACAAGTAGAACAAGTGCTGAAATAGTGCTGAACTGTGGATTTTTTCCCCCCAGTTACTGAGGAGAGTCATGAAGAACCAGCCTTCAGAAACTTCATGCAAGAGACACGGATGAAATACCAGAGAAGAAGCAACCCGAATGAATGAGACCTTCAGAAACAGAGGGTTTGGAATCCCTTGTAATGGAGTTAAAAGTAAAGCAACAGCATAAAGAAACTTGCATGGGACAATGCATGAAGTCTTCTATCTGCGAACAGCTTCCTCTGATATATTTATCTCTTTCTTCCTGCAGTAACTTTGGTCGTATGAGTTGAAGGTCTCGTATCCAACTGACTGCACATTTGGCCATCTGCCATGGTGACTTCCTGAAGCTGAAGAAACCAGACAGCACTTTTGTTTGCTCCAAATTCTTTAGATGTGCCTGTTGAGAACTTAGATTTTGAGCTGTCAGAATTATCATCTAGAATACTTACTGGTCTCCAAAACAGTGTTCTGTTCACCTTGTGCAGACAGGTATCTGCTGCAGCCAGGACGCAACTGAAATCTCTGCTGTGTGAAACTTCATCAATCTAGTGTTTGATATTTTGGTTTTAATTAAATATATTTTATGTACTAACAAAGGTGTGATGGTTAATAGCAGGAGATTTCATTTCACTGTTCTAATGTGAGACTTTTTTTCTGTGCTTACAGCCCACCCATATGGATGCACAGGAAATGCATCTTAATTACATTACACAGACACAGTACAGATGCTTCCAAGGAAAGTCCTGAGTAAAGAAAGCTCCCAGGAGGGAAAGTAATAAAAAGAATCTGGCTTGGTTCAGCTGAGAACCGAAGTGTGCATGGCTGTGTACTGGCTGCATGTATCTGTAGGTAACATAAAAGAAAGGCATTTCTACAGGTGAGTGCTTACGGGGAATGTAGACAAGGACTTGGAGATTGGCTAATACTTATTTTCCTGGTAGGCACCATGAGCACAGATGTTCACTTGCTGTCACCATTCTGAACTCTGGAATCTTTGTTTTCCTTCCCTCCATACAATGCCTCACTAGAGAGATTTCTCATTGGGAATCTGGCAGCAGGGTCTGCTAGCATGAGTTCTGTAGGTTTATGGAAAAACAGTTTCTGTGAAATTTAAAAGTAGAGCTGGCAGGGAAGGGAAATAACAACCAGCTGTTAACAGCCAACTCTGATATGCGTACTGCTTTATTAATGTAGAGCTTCCCAAGAGTATGAAGATTTCAAATTTAGATAAGCTAGACTAATCCTAGTAAGAAGTATTATCAGAAGCAAAGCTGAAACAAAGATTTCATAGCATACTGGTAAGGTTAAAATAGTACATTTGTTCTTAATCATAGAATAGTTTGGCTTGGAAGCACAATGCCTCACTAGAGAGATTTCTCATTGGGAATCTGGCAGCAGGGTCTGCTAGCATGAGTTCTGTAGGTTTATGGAAAAACAGTTTCTGTGAAATTTAAAAGTAGAGCTGGCAGGGAAGGGAAATAACAACCAGCTGTTAACAGCCAACTCTGATATGCGTACTGCTTTATTAATGTAGAGCTTCCCAAGAGTATGAAGATTTCAAATTTAGATAAGCTAGACTAATCCTAGTAAGAAGTATTATCAGAAGCAAAGCTGAAACAAAGATTTCATAGCATACTGGTAAGGTTAAAATAGTACATTTGTTCTTAATCATAGAATAGTTTGGCTTGGAAGGGACCTTTAAAGATCATCTAGTCCACACCCCCCTCCCCCACAATAAGCAGGGACGTCTTCAACGAGATCAGGTTGCTTGGAGCCCCGTCCAACTTGACCTTGAATGTTTTCAGGGATGGGATATCTACCACCTCACTGAGAAACCTGTTCCAGTGTTTCGCCACTGTCCCGATCCAATGCCGGAGAGGTTTCGATACAATCCCAAAGACGAGATTAAGACACCAAATCCGGTCAAATGTTGTACAACCTTTCAACTTTATTTTCGACGCGGAGGGAGGAGGGAACCACGTGAGGAGGTAACAGAGGAGTCAGCTTCTTCCAGGAGGGTGTATGTGTACTTGGGTCAGTCGCTCCGCCCTGGAAGAAGGAAGAACAGAAACAAACCCGCTCCTTGAGTCAGAAGGAAGGAATAATCCACTTAGTGTGCATTTTATGGACCTTCCCACTAGCATCTTTTGCTTTCCAGGTGTATTTGCTTGTCGGGACATCTAATGCCAATGGTACAGCTCCCACGGTAGGGAGGTAACTAGAACAGGTTGTCCAGGGAAGTGGGATGGTTTGTCAGGGTAATCAGGGTTCTGTGAGGTAGGCACAATTGTCGGGGCTTGGGGGCAAAACACCATTTGTTCCCCTGCGACTATTGACGCTGGTTCCTGCGTCTCCCACCCGCTCAGCCCATCCAGGTTTGTGTGGTTGCAGGAAGCGTTTGAGTAACCCCTTTGTTCTTTCCATGATCCCATTTGCTTGTGGGTAGTATGGGGTGTGGAACACCCATGTAATCCCCTCCCGGACTGCCCATTCCTGAACAATCTTGGCTGTGAAGTGCGACCCATTATGGATTGAATTGCCTGTGGTTTGGGGAAGGTCCCAAACCATTCCTTTAGGGCCTTCACAGTGTTCTCCCCGGTCACCTTAGCCCGGGTACTATTTCAACACCTACTAGTATATAACATTTCCCTTCTGATTTCTTCTATCTGATCCCCCCCTCACAAGCACATCATCTATGTATTGATAAATTTCTACCCCTGCTGTATAGGGATTGTTTCCAGCTCCTGTGCTAGAGCATGATGAGCTAATGTGGTCCCCGGGAGTGTTTGTACCCTTGGGGTAGTCGAGTAAAGGTGTACTGCTGCCCCTCCCAGGTGAAGGCAAAATGTTCCAGTCCTCAGGTTGCAAAGCGACCATAAAGAACATATCTTTAACATCAATCGTTGCCATGATGGAGTGGGATTGTTCCTGAATGGTCGCAATTAACTCGGCAATGTTTGGTACAGCAGCTGTCAACGGGCATGTGTTGCTATTAACCCTCCGATAATCTACCGTCAGTCTCCACCCCCCACCCCTGTTCGGCTTTCAGACTGGCCATACTGGGGAATTAAAGGGGGACTGTGCCACAATGTCACTGGAGTCATAGGTACTGTTTGGGTTTTACCCAGGGCATTTAAAACTATGAGGCTTTTGGATGGGATGGAGATACTGCATTATTCTGCCTCAGTTCATCTTAGCGCAGTGATTTGGGCTCCAGTATCTATTAAAAAGGTCATGGGTTTTCTCTTTGGCGCCACCGCCACAGTAATCAGTAAGTCCCCTTTGTCGTTGCAGGTGAGTTGTCTTACAAACATCCACATTCTACCTCCGCCCTCACCCTGGGGGGACAGAAGAGTTAGTTTCCTGATGCCATCTCATCCGTTTTTTTTTTTCTTCCTCCCCTATGCCTGCCATTAACGAGGTATTAACGCTCCGCTTAAGAGCAGTTCCCTGCCCGGACCACCTCTGCACAACCAATTCTAACTACTTTGTCTGGAGTCTATTCACCAACTCCCAAGGAACGCCCTTCTGCAGCCCCAACTGCCACAGTCCCTGCCGGGTCAGGGGCTTTTCCTTTCCCCTTAAACCTGGGCTCCTCTCAGGGAGTAGCGGTCTCCCGCTTCCTGAGTCTGCCGTCGGCCCGGCTCTGGCTTCAGCTTTCTGGTATGACTGACTACATTCAGTAAGAGAGACAGAGACAAACTACATTCAGTAATGGCTCTCTACAGCCACCCTCATGGTAAAAAAAAATTCTTCCTTCTATCTAGTCTGAATCTACCCTCTTTTAGTTTGAAACAATGGCCCCTTGCCCTATTGTATCAGGCCCTACTAAAAACTCTGTCCCCATCTTTCTTATAAGCCTGCTTTATACACTGAAAGGCCAGTCAGGTCTCCCTGGAGCCTTCCCTTCTCCAGGCTGCGCAACCCCAACTCTCTCAGCCTTTCTTCGTAGGAGAGGCATTCCAGTCCTCTGACTGGTTTTGTGTCCTCCTCTGGACCCGCTCCAACAGGTCCATGTCTATCTTGTACTGTGAGCCCCAGAGCTGGACGCAGGGCTCCAGGCGGGGTCTCACGAGAGTGAAGTCAAAGGGGAGAATCCCCTCCCTCGCCCCACTGGCCACGCTGCGGGGGATGCAGCCCAGGGTACGGCTTTCTGGGCTGCCAGCACATGTTGCCGGCTCATGTCCAGCTTTTCATACACCCATACCCCCAAGTCCCTTCTCCACAGGGCTGCTCTCAGTCCCTTCATCCCCAGCCTGTACCGATACCCAGGGTTGCCCTGACCCATGAGCAGGACATTGCGCTTGGCCTTGTTGAACCTCACGAGGTTCACAGAGCCCAGTTCTCAGGCTTGTCTAAGTCCCTCTACTCTGTCAGTTTGTCCCCATGCACAACGTGCATCCCTCCAGGAGCTGGGCTTAGACACTCTGTCCACCTAATAGCTGGCCCCTGTCTCAGTTACTAGCACGTGGACACGAGCCCCCGAGGCCTGCAGCCCCACTCCACTCCACTCGCTGGTGCAGACCTTACTTGCATGCATCCATGCGCTTGCTTGCATGTGTGCACACAAAACTTTTGGCCCAGACTCCCCAGTTCCTCTGCTAATCAACTCCCCCTGTCGCCTTGCTCTTAGAGACACACAGACACACATGCACCCACCCATTCCCCCTTTTCTAATTGTCCCTTGATCCCCTGATCACCAGACATCCCTCTGATCAGCAACCTGTCTACATGTGAATGGAGCTCTTTATCCCCTCATTCTTCTGTTTCCCAAGGCTTGTTCCTGCCCAAGCCACTCCTACGCCGTGCTTTCCACATCTTTAGTTCATCCAGTAAATATACCATAATAAGTTCTTTGCAATCCCTAAATGCACTTCCCCTGCATCCCATATTGGGTCTCGTAGCCCTTCAGGAGTAACCCCCCTGCAGTCTGTAAGGTGATCTGGAGAACCTTTCCTGCTGCTTTATTGTGATGGGTGTCACCCTCGACTTCGGGGCTGATGGTTCTCCTGGGACAGCCCTGGAAGGAGCCGATGCAGGGACTCCATTCACGTGTGTTCCCTGCCCTGCTAGTGCCTCTGCTGGAGTTCATAGGAGTGAGCTTTTTAATCACATAACCCACCAGGGAACCACAGTTATTAAAAGTTTTGGAAAAAGGCTCTAAAGCTAGAATAATCCAAAGAGATTTTGGTAGTTTGGTTCATTTGCAGGATGATCTTTTGAGGGCCAGCAACTTGAAGAGAAGTCACTCTGCCCATTTTGTTGATTTTAGTTATAAGTTCTATTTTGCTCTACGCAATGTGGGAAGAGGGTCAGGCCACTTGGGAGGTATACAGGAACACTGCCAGAGCATGCAGGGAAGCAACGAGACAGGCCAAGGTCCACCTGGAATTAAATCTGGCAAGGGGTGTCAAGGACAACAAGAAGGGCTTCTTCAAGTACATCAGCAGCAAACAGAATACTAGGGGAAATGGGGCACCACTGCTGAATGAAGTGGGTGCCCTGGTGACGGAGGATACAGAGAAGGCAGAGTTACTGAATCCCTTCTTTGCTTCAGTCTTCACTGCCAAGGCTGGCCCTCAGGCTTCCCAGTCCTTGGAGGTAAGCGAGCAAGCCTGGAGAAAGGAAGATCTTCCCTTGGTTGAGGTGGATCAGGTTAAGGATTATTTAAGCCAGCTGGACACCCACAAATCCATGAGCCCCGATGGAATGCACCCACGAGTGCTGAGGGATCTGGCAGACATCAGTGCTGAGCCACTCTCCATTATTTGTGAAAGGTCCTGGAGAACAGGAGAGGTGCCTGAGTGTCACCGAAATTGGGAAGAATGAACCTTGTAACACCAATGCAGTGTTAGAAGGCAGGCATTCTTTATTCACGATGCACGGGGGATCGCCTCACCTAATGTGCATACCATCAAGCGGCAACTTGCCCGTTTATATGTAGCAAAGTGTTACATATGCATGAAGTTTTCTGATATGCCTATACATATGCATAACCTGTCTCCGCTTTGTATTAAAATTAGCTTCAGGAGGTCATTTCCATAAGTCCCTCCCCACTGCGCCTGCTCAGTGCCTCCTGGTGGTGCTCATTGGGGGTTGTGGGGATGAAGGCTGATGGCTCCTCTTCGTCACCGCTAGTAACCCCTTGTTCTCGCGCAAACTCAGTTGCTCCTTGGCTCTTGCTCAAACCACAGGGTTGGTGTAGACCAGCTCTTGAGGTAAACACCTGGTTCTTATCAAAAACTGTCCTTCGTAAGGAGCCACAAATCTTCCTGCATCAATTAGTTCTCATTC